GATAAGTGGTTTCACCAGTGTTTTTCCCAACTCCTCAAGAAAAATTCGTCGTTTTGTAAGTTTATTGGTATTCCATTGGGGATTTATCGATGTCCATAAAACGAACGCGTTGTAGGCAGAAATGTCCAGCATATTGTAAAAAACAATCATGGGCCAGCGATTTGTCTTCCTCTTACATGTATATGTACCAACAAGCTGATCTAGAGTATCCACTGCCCCCTTACTGGAATTGTAATCTAAAATAATTTGGGGCTTCTTGTCATTTCTGTCACTAATAGCCTTTTCATGATGCAAAGTACTCATAAGAATAACATTTTTATTCTTTTTAGGAATATAGTTAACAACAGTGGTATCTTGTGTGAAGTAAAAAGACGAACTATGAACTTCTTTATTCGCAATTTGTGCTGGAAGCTCTCGTTTATTTTTTCTTATAGTCCCCAGCATTGTATTTTTTCTTTTTAGAAGAAGTTGTCCTAAATTGTACGATGTAAAAAAGTTATCACATGTAATATTGTGGCCTTTCAAATCACTACTCAAGTCGCACACCACACGCATTCCCTGATTTCGTTCTGGCGCGGCACCTGCTTCCTTTCCTGTATAGATCTGCAATTTTAGAGCATAAGAACTTTTACTGTCACATAAGGCCCAAATTTTTATGCCATATTTCGCTGGCTTGCTTGGAATGTACTGTTTGAATGGACAGCGGCCTCTAAAGGCAACTAATTGCTCGTCGACGGTAACATTTTCATCAGGGTTAAAAAATTTTGGTAGATTTTCAACCCATTTTTCCCAAATTTCACGTATTGCAGCAAGTTTATCAGTACGTCTCCTATCCTGTCTAGTAGTCTTGTTATCAAAACGTATTACTTGCGAAATTTTTGTAAATACTTCAAGGGACATTGTTGCTCGAAATATACTACGACCCGTTTCTTCATTCCACAAACTTTTAGTTGATTCACCATGGGACTTAAAAACTCCAGCTAACAATAACAGACCAATGTATGCTTGAAAACCAATTTTATCTAAGTCTTTCCAGTTGTTTCCAAAAACACGCTGTCCTTCCATGTTGGTCATATTTATAATTTGGTTTGCAACTATGTCAGAAAAGAGTGCGTCAAATGAATTTTTAATATCGAAAATTCGTGCACATGCGTACCTTGTAACTCCTGGAGCATTATTTATAACATTGGCCGTAGAAAAACGACCGCGTTGATAAGGAGGATCGAGCGACCATTGGATAGTATCGTCTTTTGAAGGAACCGTTACAGAAGGTTCTACAGGATGTTGTACGTAGAATGGAACACCAAAGGATTCATCACTACTTTCTTCCTCACTCTCACTACTTGTATTGTTTTCTGTTTCTGATATGCACTCATCACTCTCTGACACGTTCGCGAGCTCGCGAAGCTCATCTTCGGTTAGCGCTCTACGGTGCGACATTATCAACATGCAAACATAGACTGAAATTTGAAATATAAACGAATAAATGAATGCGCTTGGCCTTGGAATATTAGTGTTTTACCACTTGTCTATCACCCCCACTTCCTTTTACGTGACATGCCATTCTACCTGACATCGTCCAGCTACACTACACATATTTTACAAGTTCTAGCTTGTAGAAACTTGTTTTTATTTATAGACGTACCTGACTGACAAACACTATTAGAAAATATAAAATACTACCAACTAAACATACCTATACAGGTAATTTTTAACGGTTTAAATAAGTGGGTCATATTGACCCGAGCGTACCATAGGTAACAATTTAATTTTTATCAAAAAAATGAGCAAGTTGATTTTTTATCTTTTATGCAATTGAAAGACCTCATATTAAGTAATAAAGTCACGAAACACCAAAACGTTACGCCGCGTAATAATTTGTAAAATAAGAAATAATTTTTTTTTGGGTCAAATAGACCCGAACAGGACAGCAGGGTTAAAAAAATATGACTAAAACAAATTTCCTGTTCATATACATATTTTTACTTTTAGGGATGGTAAATTTATCCTAAGATATCTCTTAAGCCATAAAAAAATCGTTTTTTGTCAAATGACCGTACAAAATTTTGATTAAAGGACAAATGGTTTCAAAGGTACACTAATACCGGTAAGATATCACTTGAAATAGTCGCTGACCGGCCGTAGGGCGCAATGATAGAAGGGATTAAGGTCCTTTGGGGAGCTCTAACGCCGTCCTTAAGGCGTTTAGTGTCTCTGCATCTTATGTAAAGATTTATGGGGGGAGTTCCTTTGCTCCAATTTGGTCAGTTTTAGTGATTCCGGCAGACAACCGACCGACCGAAAGCGCGTAGCTTGGGACTCTATTGATTTTGTCTTTTACGGCTCATCGTAAATTATGGAATGGTCCCTCGAGTTGTATTGGACATTTTGTTAAAACTTTCTTTTAACACAATGGATGAACATTTGTAGTTGGAAACAAATGTTAAGACAAAACACACACATTTAAAACAGTGAATAGTTTCTAAGAACATTTATATAGAAAAACAATTCGGGATATTTAGAAAGTAAGAAAGTATTGTTTAAATTTTACAAATAATTATACTTGGTTTTGTAGCAGATATGAATTCAAATTTAATTGTTAGATATATAGTGGGTTATATATTCTTTTCTTCGAAGGTAATGCTATGAATAGATGTTATCTTTAACAACGAGGCATTTTTCTGTAGCAAAACTAAAGAAAACTTAGTCGATATCTTCTTCTTCTTTAAGTTCCATCTTCTATCGAAGGTTGGAAATCATCATGGCTATGCGGACTCTGTTGACTGCCGCTCTAAAAAGTTCTGCACTACTGCATTCAAACCATTCCCTTAAGTTCTCAAGCCAGGATATTCTTCGTCTTCCCACATTTCGCTTTCCTCGGATTTTGCCCTGCATAATAAGTTGTAATAATGCGTATTTTTGCCCTCTCATCACATGTCCCAAGTACTCAAGTTTTCGTCTTTTGATAGTTAATATTATTTCCGCCTCATTTCCTATCCTTCTAGTTACTTCCATGTGTGACATTCTTTGAATCCATGATATTCGTAGGATTCTTCTGTAACACCAAAATTCAAAGGCGGCCAGCTTATTCAGATGAACTTGTTTTAGTGTCCAAGCTTCCAGACCATAAAGAAGAGTAGAGAACACGTAACATCGAAGCATTCTCAGGCGTAGTTCTAACCTTATATCCCGACAACAAAGAAACTTTTTAAGTTTAATAAATGATGTACGTGCTATTTCAATACGTGTCTTAATTTCTTTGGTTTGGTCTACATCTGATGTTATCCATGTTTCTAAATATTTATAGTTATTAACATTCTCAATTGCAGTATCTTCAATAGTCAATTGGATATTTGCATGTGCAGATTTAGTCATGATCATGCATTTAGTTTTCTTTAAATTTATCTTCAGTCCGTACTCATGACAGCGTTCATTAAGGCGTTGCATTAGGTTCTGTAAATCATTGTTGTTATCCGTAATTATTACTGTATCGTCTGCAAAACGTAAGTTATTCAAAACTTCTCCATTGATAGATATACCTTCTATTGAGTCTGAGAGCGCTTCTTGAAATACCGCTTCACTGTAGACATTGAAAAGTAGTGGGGACAGCACGCAACCCTGGCGGACTCCTCTCTGTATTTTGATATTTTCGGTGTACTGGCTGTCAACTCTTACCTTGGCAGTTTGATTCCAATATAAATTAGATATAATTTTCAGATCACGACTGTCAATATTTTTGCTTTTTAATATATCTACAAGCTTTTTATGTTGAACTTTATCAAATGCCTTTTCAAAGTCTACAAAACATAAGTACATATCCTGATTCATGTCCATGCATCTCTGAGCCAGCACATTCAAGCCGAACAAAGCATCTCTTGTACTCATACCATTTCTAAAGCCAAATTGTGTGTCACTAATCTCATATTCAAGAGTTTTAACAATTCTGCTGTGAATTATTTTCAAAAATGTTTTAAGTGTGTGACTCATTAAAGCTATGGTTCTGTGGTCTGAGCAAGTTGTTGAACTTGGTTTTTTGGGAATTGCTACAAAGGTTGATTGCAGCCATTGTCTGGGGATTGTGGCAGTCTGATATATTAGATTAAAGAGTTCAACCATTACATCAATAACATCTTCATCAATGAGTTTTAATAATTCGATGGGCACCTCATCTGGTCCAGTAGCTTTACCCTCTTTTGTGTTTTTGATGGCATAGATGACTTCTTCTCTTAATATTGGTGGTCCAGTATCCTCGGTGATTTCTAATGACAGTTCTTCTCTTTCATCATTAAATAGTTGTTGAATGTAATTGGTCCAGTGACATAATCTCTCCTTCATATCAGTAATAATATCCCCTTTATCATTTTTAAGGATATTCGTTTTTGTACGCTTTCTAGAACCTGTCATTTCTTTGATTTTTTTGTGTAAATTAAAGCTATCGTACTTTTTATCCAGATCTTCTATTTCCTTGCATCTATCGGAGAGCCACCTCTCTTTTGCCTCTCGAATTTTCTTTCTGATGTTTCTCTGAATTTCTTTGTATTTATTCAGGTCTTTTGCTTTATGTTTTCTTCGTTCTTCCATGAGTTCAAGAATTTCTACTGTCATCCAAGGTTTTGTTTTTTTCTTTTTTTTTTTGTTTTTTGTTTTGTTTTTGTTTAGTCGATATCATATCCTGTTAATTGGTGGGAAACCAATTACAATAAACACGCTTGATTACTTGAAATTTAAAATTGGGAAAATTTAAAGTTTGGTGGTGGGATGAATTTGTATGCATGAATGTTGATTGGCTAGAGAGTACTAGGGAAGGAGATAAGACAGTCGACTTGAAAATTGAACCAGGAGATTTGAATCATTGTGTTTTCAAGATCAAGAACGAAAAGTCCACTTTAAGAACAGTGTGTGAAAAAGAAGTATAAGTTTTGTATGTGTAGACACCCAACTCCATGGCCCGACCACAAAAGTAAAGTAAATCCTAATATTTTTAACAAATAAATGTTTAGTTCCAAATGAAGTGAGATTAGCGGAAGTTGGTAGACATTTATGCCAAACAAAAGAAAAATTGCAGGCGATGTAGTATGTGCAGTACTAAGCACAATGAGACAAGGACTAGGTATATGTGCACCTACTGCAATCTTCCATTATGTATAACACCCTGTTTTAAGAAACTGCATGGTCAATGAGATGTATTTACTATAATCAGTTCACAATTTGTCGATAGCTCACTACAAGTTTAACCCTAATTAGAGAACTACAATACAGCAGTCAACCTTATAATCTGATTACGAAGGTATTTTGGTTACAGATGACCGACCAGTATCGTAGAGTATATGATTGAAAGATTTATTTGAACTAAATAAATATATTTTTTAAATTGTACTTATGTAAATTGTATTTTTGTTTTAATAAAACTTTTTATTTTATTAAAAAATAAAAAGTTTCTTGCCATTTGTAAAAAATACAGAAAAATTTAAACGCAGAATAAAAGATTACGTTATTACTGAGGGCAGAAAGTCCCTGAAAACTTCTACAATGTTTATTTTAATATGTTATGTAACAGGGGTGAAAATAAAAGAGAAAATATAGTATAATTTTTGCTTGAAAATATTGCATGCAAAAGAAACTTTTTATTTATTCTAATAAATATTTCATTCTGCCTTTAAATTTTTCAAAAATGCTGTCTAGTTTTCTCAGGATTTGAAAAAAAAATGGATACATTTAAAACACATTGAACATTTTGACAGGCGACATTTTGCGCCTTTTCCCTTTAATACCTTACGATTACAACTACTATTACTTATCTTATATAATTACGATTAGAAAACTATTCAAATTCAAAATAAATAGGATCAACATCGGAATCCGAGTCGTATTGAGGGTTAATAATTAGCGGTTGTGTCTCTACGGTCGCATCAATTATGTTATCAAGATCCCACATTTTTTGTTAATCTTCTATTACATGTCTTACTGGATCTTTCCAGTTTTGTTCTGTAATATGTTCTAAAGACTTGTATAACAATTCACGTACAGCTTGTATTGTATATGACGTATTTTTTCTAGCCACATACCTTTTAATTTGTGCCCAAATGAGTTCAATTGGATTTATTTCGCAGTGATAGGGTGGAAGTCTAAGAACTGTGATATTTCGCCTTTCCGCCATTTTGTCAGCTACGTATTTCTTGAACTCGGATTTGTGTTGCCAGGCAATTTTTAAAAGTTCTGCTTTTACCAATGATAAGGTGCATTATCTAATGCTATAATTAAATTTGGTGGTATGTGTTCAATCATCTGCTCAAAATACTCTTCGCAAACATCTCACCTGTCATCTCCTCGTGATAGTCTTTTGTGCTTTTTGACTGAAATTCTAACAAACCATGCTTAAAAAATCCTTTTTCACTGCCAATGTGAGAAACTATTAATCTACTGCCTTTACCAGAAGGTGGGAGATACCAGTAGACCAACCTTCCATAAAGGCTTGCCTGGAGCTTAATATATTTTTATCTGACCAATTTCTTTTTAGAGTATTATCTGAGTTTACCCACGTTTTATTCTGGTAGAAGATTGGCCTTCATTCAGCCCGGAATTTTCGTATGAATCTTAGATAATTTCTTCTCCAACATATTATCTCCTCCCGGTCAATCAAAAGTGATTTTCGGTCTGATTTCTCCCACCTTAAATTTAATTCTTTTAAAACTTGCCACAATTTAGTTCGTCCGATATAAGGCAAATTCGTGTCGTCTCTAACTTCTTGTAAATTTTGTATAGGTTTGGTATTTCTTTTTTGAAAAAAAAATCCATGAATTTTACTTCGAATGCCATTTTTGGCAAATTCGTCAATTTAAATAGGCTTTTTCCCTCTCTTTAAGTGTTCGTTTGTGTTTGGGTTAGCTATACGGTGTTTTTTTCTTTCTCATAGGAACCTATATATTGACTCCTACGCATCAGTTGGCACAACTTTCGACATGTTGCGAATAGTGTTTGTGGGATTCTGAGAAACCAGAGCATCGTGAATATTCAGGACAATAGTCTTCTCTCTTGGTGAATAGACAGACTTACTGACTGTACGCAACAGTACCGGTGTAAAACTTGATGATGTTGATGATGAAGCCATCACAAACAATCCAACAAAACGAGCACGAGCGAAAGGTAAGTATAAGTTTGTAGGTATATGGAATAAAAAATCACTCACGCACTGCATATAATCCGCAAAAGAAATATTGGAGACGCTAATTACTGCCGTAGACGCGGAAACACCGACGAGCCGTAAATTACATGCGATCAGAAACGTACTAAAAAAAATTGTTTTCGTTCGTGATAACTTCACCCATTCAAGTTAAGTTTCGAATATAAACTGAACAGACGAGGCACGTGGCCAAAGCCGGCATCATTATACCCATTATATTATTAAAAATCTGGGGAATTCCATCCTAATTATCTTGCAACTGCAACGAATAGTACCTTCGAGTATAAATTCCAGGTTTTCTAGTAAAGTGATTAAACGTGAAGATTAGTATTGAAATATCGAAAGAGATAAGGTATTCTTATTTACAAAATTGTTAATGGTTAAATTCTTATTTTTATTAATATAATATAATAACCAACATTAGCCCTCAACAAGTTTTAATTATTTTTTTGCTAAATATATTATTAATAAAACATTATTAATATTGATAAACATTTTGGAAAGGAAAATAAATGTAAAACGCATTCATTTTAAAGAATAAACACTTCTGGAACGCCTATGATGATACAAATTTTACGACCGTTTTATGACTTTGAGGCACATTTTGTGCTCTCAATAATTTGTGAACGGATTATAGTTTAGGTATACATATTTTGTATTTTATGAGTTATAAATTAGAGTTAGAGTTAGTTATTAATTTATGAGTTAGAAATGTTCCTTTTTTGAATTTACATTTTTCGCGTATAAGCACTGGAAAGGCACCCTATAGGACAATAATGAGTATATAATTGTTAACCAGTCAAAGAAAAATTGTTTAAAACTATTTAATTTGCTCACGCCAACGAAACGGTTAAATCGGTAATTACCAACTACTTTAAAAAACAACAAGTAATACACTGTTTCATTTTTGTTAACTACTACTTGTTTTCATTATTTGCTTTAATTCGAATAAAGACAACCTGCCTCTTATATAAATTAGCAAATATTCAAGTTTTTTTTTCAGTTTAGTAAAAATTTTCAAATTTAGTTACCTCTAATTTAAAAATAAATTTATACAAAAGTGCCTGTAAAATAAGTTAATTAAAAATAATAACATCAAACATTTGTTACCAACTACCATTAGCTAGAAATGTAAAGTAAAAATAATTGTTTAAAGAACCTGCTTTATAATTAAATTAAATAACTGGCTTCGAATAGAAACAAAATATAGTGCTATTTCAACAAAGTCGTATGTTAAGGAACTCTGTTTAATGTAGCTTAATATCTTGTATGTACTGAAACTCCTTATCCATCCGTTGAATCTAAGAGAATAGATACAAAATCGATGCTCATCTCGAAAACAAAGGCCTACACAAGTCGGTATCCAAGGAAACATATAGCTCCAAGCATACGAAAATGAAACTACATCTGAATTTCGCATATGGCCGAGAAGCTTGTTAACATGCGAATTTGACTTTGGGGAATACAATTTACATAGGCCCACACTGTCGTTTATTTACCAAAATCTAATCAATATGGAAGGAAAGAAACTTTTTCACATTTCTTATGTAAAACCAAACAATATCAAATTCGTTTAGGTCCTATCTTACTCTAAACGGAAATTTTTATAGTGATGTATTTGATGGATAGTAGATGAAAATTCATTTTACATATGTAGCTGCTAAACTCTGTCAAAACTTTTAGTTTAAATGAAGGACTTACATAACCTTTTTAGATTTATTTAAACAAGTTTAATATTTTTAGCTACAAACTTGTCCACGAATATAATAAGCTTATTAATAACATAGTACTCTTGGAATTTCTTGCTTGAAAATAAATTATAATCAATCAAGTCGTTTATTATAAAGACGAGTTTATTTAAACAATGTTTAATAAACAATTATTTTACGTTTTTGTACGGAGAAAATTACGAAAAAAATAATGCTTAATGTTAGGAAAATAAGGTTTTTTACTCTAAACTTAAATGCCAATTAAAATTGCTTAAACATGTCTTTTTAACTAAAGCAAGTGTATAATCGGCAAAGAGTATTCTCCTCTAGCTGTATGCGTCTTTCTAAGCATGATTATAAGTAAATTTTGGAGATATCCTTGGAAAATTGCATTCTATACATTCTGTGATGCAGATAGCTGCTCTATCGTATTTGTAACGGAATTTCTTTATCGTATACTGCATATTAGCTGATCCCACATGCTCAATTGGATTTAAATCCGGGCTAAATGGTGGCCAATCCAATCTTCGAATGTGGGCCGAAATAATCTTTATATTATTCATCCAGGAAATTACTCACTATGACAGCAGCATATGGTCGAGCGTTATCGTGTATAAACATAAATCTGTCATATTCAATGTTACCAACATATGCCAAAATATGATATTGCACATCAATTGTTCTAATGGTTTTCATATTAATTTGCTATCTAAAGCATTACTTTTGTTCTCTTTGTGTGTTTCTGCCACGTATGTTCGTTTTGGTCTTATGATTATTTTGAAAATTTTGCCTCTTATATCTTTTTAGATCTAAATCTAAATTAGTAAAATGTAAACAGATATATGTATAAATGTCAAGAACCGTTGATAGCCGATGCCACAAAAATTAGAAACAGAAGTTTTAACATCTCGTAATTGATGTTAAATCCATTTATATTTTATTAGAATAATCCGAATGGTATATTTTTAATTAAGGGTTGGTTTCTGGTATATTTCAATTTACATACCGGTGTTGGGATTCGATTTTCCAGAACTTTGTGCATTTCAATTTTAATTGCCAAGCGAATGAACATGAGTGAATTTTGAATGGGAGTTGTATAACTTCCAGAGTACCTGAAGTATATTTTTTTGTAATGTGGATAACATTTTTTTATTCATGATATATTAACTATTTTCTCGAAGGTA